ATTATCAATTAAGTTTTTGGTTTAGAATCACCATTATCTGTACAATATTTAAAAAATACAGTGATAAGGCCATAAGGTTTTTATAAAGTAAACTGAATCCATGAGCCATACAAGAAAAACTGCCTGTCTCACTTCATATTTCAACAACCACATTTCACTATCTCTATGAAGCTTTTCCTAATCCTAACAATTTTAGGTCATCATTCTACATCCTTCCAGCTAATCAAGAAGTTGAAACAGAAACTTTATTTGCATGCATTCGATTAACGCCCAATATTACCACCTGAGCTTTCACATCCCACGTCATTTTGTAAAGTATAATCCTAAACTTAAAACCTACCTCTATGTAAATGGAGGCTTTCCGCATACTATAATCTTATGATTTTTTTTTATGGAAATTAATTCATTTGTCACGTTAATTCTAGCACTGGTACTTTCACCTACACCAATTTCATGGATATTAAGGTGTTGTTCTTATGTTGGTCTTCTAGAATGAACCTTAGATGTTCAGATAGAATTATTAACCATCTTCATAGGCAAATAATGTTTCTTCTTTGCTTATAACATTGGGAAATCTACCTAAAAATCATTGACCTGTAATTTTACAATGAATTTTTCATTTACAAGTTTTAAAAATACGGATTTTAAACCTGATCATTAGCACTCTGGAATTTGTGCTGTATTTCTATTTTTCACTGTGCGAAATTAATCGGAAACAGCAGAAAAAAGATGCTTTGATTTTGCCTCTAAACAAAACTACACGTAAGAGGCCAAATGTTTTATCAGACCAAGAAAAGACAATGGAAAATTCTAAATTAACCTAATGTCAATATTAGAATTACAAATGTTCACTGCTGAGGCAGAAGTGTTCTTCATTTCTGACAATTCACAAATATTGTTCAAAAATTATTTACCTGCGTCACAGCCAAATAAAGGCATTACTTGACAGAAAACAACTTTTTCCCCCCGCCCATTAGTTCTGACATCATTGCGGAACTGAATGATTAAGAAAGAACCTGACTTGTTTCACAGATTTATTAGCAAACAAAAATCAATACCTTCACAAATATTTCACGGTAATAGGTATAAACAAGTCAGTCTTAATAAATTTTAAAAATTAACTTCCTGGGGAGCACCTCGGTTGGTTAAGCGTCCAACTTTGGCTCAGGTCATGATCACAAGGTTTGTGAGTTCGAGCCCTGAGTTGGGCTCTATGCTGACAGCTCAGTGCCTGGAGCCGGCCTCAGATTCTGTGTCTCCCTTTCTCTCTGACCCTCCCCTGCTCGAACTGTGTGTGTGTGTGTGTGTCTCTCTCTGCCTCTCTCTCTCAAAAACAAACATTAAAAAAAATTTTTTTATATTAATGTCCTGATATTTTACCACATTCAAATAAACATCTAACCCAAGAAGGGAGGCAAGTCCTCAAGGACACAAATGAGGAAGCTGAAATCCTGAGATGAGGGGACACAAATTGCTAGTCATAAAGTAAATCAGGGACACAGAATCATTCATAGACTCTCAACTTCCTATTAAATATACTTATTACAGTAAATATGCAATCAAATACGCAAATAATAAATTTAAACCAATTTAAGTTTTTTAGAAAGACGTGTTACAGTAAAATAGACTTTCAACAACAAAAAACCCATCATAGTACAATTAGATGTGAATAAATACAATCTATGTATAAGTATATTAATGAAATAAGACTGGTTAAAAGACATCTCTGCTGTGAAGGGCTGATGGATTTTCAGACCACTGATAAATTTTATTCTGAGCCAAATAAAAGAAAAATCACTGACAGCAGAATATATGCTGAGTATTACATGACATTACAGCTCACCCTTGAAAAACGCAGAGGTTAAACACGCTGACCTCCCCGTGCATAGTCAAAAATCCGCCTATAACTTTTGACTCCCCAAAACATTACTAGTAGCTTACTGTTGACCAGAAGCCCTACCAGCCTTCCATATAACATAAACAGATGATTGACACATATTCTGTATGCTACTGGTGTTATATGCTATATTTTTATAACAATACATAACTTTTTCTTAATTTTTAAATATTTTTGGGCTATTAAGTTCCTGAGTTTTTGCATTTCTACCTAGACTGGCCAAAGGGGGAAAAAAACTGAAATATCATAAAGCATTTTTTTCACAGATTATATTTTGACTATATGTTAATTGCAGAAAATATGGAAAAGCATAAAGAAATACCCAAAAGACAACTACTATTTTATTTCTTTTCAGTCTTCTTCCAAAGACTTATAGAGTAAAAACTCCAGTTTGTCACTTAACACTACAAAATATAGACATTCCCATCATTAAAACTTCTAATGGAGTTTTGGGGCGCCTGGGTGGCTCAGTCGGTTAAGCGTCCGACTTCAGCTCAGGTCACGATCTCGCGGTCCGTGAGTTCGAGCCCCGCGTCGGGCTCTGGAATGATGGCTCAGAGCCTGGAGCCTGCTTCCGATTCTGTGTCTCCCTCTCTCTCTGCCCCTCCCCTGTTCATGCTCTCTCTGTCTCAAAAATAAATAAACGTTAAAAAAAAAAAATTCTAATGGAGTTTTAAAACACTTTCTTCATTTTTAAATTAGATTTCTTTTCAGGTTATGTGAGGGAATACCAGTTGGATCCCAAAGCTTGTCTGTTAGATTAGTTAAGACTGGTTTAAAAGCAATTCTACCACCGACTGCATCAGGGTCCTTTGGATAAAAAATATAATTTTTAAAAATTAGGGGAACTGAAATCTCACACAATTCCTGTTTCCAGTGATGTATACCTAACTGGTTCTTATTTATCAACTTAATACACTCAATTAATAATGATAATCACTTATAGCTATATTATACTTTTCCCTTTGCAAAATTCCTATGTACTATCATTTCATTTTTTTTTAGGCTATGGAATAGGTTATTCTCTTATCACAGATGTAGAAAACTGTGGTACAAAGAAATTAAGTGACCTCACAAAATTTACCCTATCAACTTAGCAGAACTAGAAATCAGGTCTTTTAAATTAACACCATCCTTTCTATTTGTGCTAATCTACACTGTTTATATAAGACATCGCTGTGAAAGAGAACCATGTGTTTGTTAAAACGCTGTGCAAAAAACCGAAGTTGAATGGGGGCACCTGGATGGCTCAGTTGGTTAAGCGTCAGACTCTTGACCTCAGCTCACTCAAGTCACGATCTCAGGATTCGTGAATTCTAGCCCCGTGTCTTGGCCCTGCACTGGGAGCGCAGATCTTGCTCGGGATTCTCTTTCTCCTTCTCTCTCTGCCCCTCCCCTGCTTGCTGCCTCTCTCTCTCTCTCTCTCTCTCTCTCTCTCAAATAAATAAACTTATGAAAACACAAACCCTGAAATTAAACCTTGAAAGAAAATAAGTTAATGTTGCGTGTTAATTAGGCCAGTTTCGAGAAATTCCAAAAACTAAGGAAACTGTCTCATTTGGTGAGGAGACACAGAACTGATTCTATACTGCTCAAAGATGATTTTTAAAAACATGATATGAACACTTCAGATCTAGAAATAAGCAAAACTGAGCATTCTGCTTATACAGTTACATTCCTTTCTGTATCAAGGTACCTTTTATTTGTGTCTCCGTTCCCTTATGTTTGAAATGGGATAACCATCCCTATCTCAGATGGTTGTGGTGAGGATTAAATGACTTAATACACATACACCACTGAGTACTATGCCTGCCACAAAGTAAGTCCCAACTAGTTGTAGCACTATGCAAGCCTTCTCGTTTTTTCTCTCCTACTAGAAGGAAAATACATGCACAGGCTCTAAAACTTCAATAGGGGGGTGGGAAGGAGGAGATATCACACTTTATTTTATTAAATGCTGATTCAAGAATTTATTTAAGATGAACTAACTAAAAACCTGAATGCTAACCATCTAAATTTTAAGTTACACGGCGTAGAAACGTGCCTAGAACTAAAAGAGGTCACTTTACCAAATACATTTTTCTTCATAGTGAGATTCTATTTCCACATGCCTGTCAAAGTTTCGGCATTTTCATAACGACAGGCTGTGGCCATGATTCCACACTTTACTGAGAACCATATGAGAACATTTAAGCTGGACTTAAACATGGAGATCAACTTAAAAAAAAAAATCTTCCCAGCAATAAATAACAATCCAATCCATATTCTTCTCACTGCAATAAAAAAGGAAATACAATGGGAAAATGTGTTCAATAACTGATGCCAAACTGATTGAAAAATTGCAGTTCACTGCCTGAAAATAGTACTAAAGGGCGGAGGAGGAATCAGCTCTGCATTCTCTTTCCATTATGATGATTATTCAATAAACAGTTTTGCTCAATTCTGAAACAGGTATTTCAAGGACGGTAGACGGAAAAAAAGTTCTGTCACTTTCTGGAAGGGCTTACCCTTTTAACTCGGAATGGTCATAGCACGTTGCCTTGGGTCAGAATGAGTGTCTGACCCAGGCAATCTAGACCACCAGCAGGAATAATAGGAAGGGATAGTAAAGGACTTGTACTGAATCCAAAACTCAAAGCTAACCAGAATCAGTATCCTTCGCTTTTGAACCTGAGCACTTTCACAAAAGATAATTAGCGCCACTTGCCTTTAACTGGTTTAAGATGCTATTTAATTATCTTGTCTTCCTACTCTGTCCATCATTTTAGCTTAACTTTAGGGGTCACATCTCCAAAACTTTTTTCCTCCCAAATATTTTTCCAAGAAGAATCCAATACCGAAAAGGAGGCCTTCACAGCAGAGTCTCACTTCTCTCTTTTCAGCAGCACCAAAGGCCTGGTCAAAAAGTAAAGACGCGCCAACTTGGGGGACAAGGGGCAGAGCCCACCTTTGCAACTCATCCCGGAGAGGGCCTGGTCTGGTCACGCACCCAAGCGCACTGCACCTCCCCCGCGCGTCTAGAGACCCGGCATCCCGGAGGTTCCCCTGCGACCCCGCCGCCCCTGGGGCTCCGCGCGCCGCGCGCTCCCCGGGAACCACTCACCTTGCTGGGCTCCGGTGTCCTCGAGCAACAGGAGCAGGATAAGTAAGAGCAGGAGGAACAGAGGCATGGGGAAGGAGGAGGAGGAGGAGGAGGAGGAGGAGGAGGAGGAGTTGGGGCGGGGAGGGCGAGGGCGGGAGAAGGGGAGCGCGGCCCGGGCGGGGGCGGCGGCCGCGGCCCGGACTCGGAGACGGGGAGGGCTGCGCCCGGCTCTCACCGCCGCCCGGTTCCCCATCTCGGCGGCCGGCTGTCCGCCTGCATAGTGCGGGAGCCCCGGGAAAGGAGGCGGCGGCTGCGGCGGGAGAGCGAGAGGCACCGCGCGCTACGCCCCGCGCCGGGACCGTCTCTGCTCCTTGCTCTGCTTTCGCCTCCTCTTCTCTAGTTCCTTCCCTCCGCTCCCTACCCGGAGACCCCAGACCAGAGCGCTGGGGAAGAGAGGGAAGGAAGCGGGGTACTCGAGCCGCGGAGGGCCGCTGCGGCAGAGCCGGAGGACGCGCCTCCCGCGCCGCGTCCCTCAACCCAACCCCGACTCGCGGCACACGCCCGGGGCTCCGGCTAGCTAGCTGGCAGGCGGGCAGCCTGCTCCCTCGCGCTCCCTCTGGCGCGCACTGACCACGCCTCCTCGGCCCGCCAAGGCCAATCTGCAGTTGGCTCCGGTCCGTCTCCCTCCGAGCCACCCAATCAACACGCTCTCTCCTCAGTCGGCCCGTTAGGTCCCCGGCCCACTCCTTGAGCTCAACCGCCCCTCTTCTCTCTCCTCCAATCCCCTGCAGCCTTGGGAAAGCGTCCCACCCCGCTTCCCCCAATCGGGGTTCCGCCCCCAAGCTCGGGCCCCCGGCAGCCCTGCCCGGCCCGGGCGCCTGTTATTGTTGGGACCGCAGCCCAAGCTGATCTCGCTGGGGCGGCTGCTCGCACTGGTCAATGACTTCCGGGACTTCCCCCATCCCGCTCTCCTGGCTCCTCAAGCCCAGCTTGTTCATTGCTCCTCCCCTGCCGCGCATCAGGCCACTGGAAGGGGTGGGAAACCAGGATCCTGGATGGTTTTAGCTGAGAGCTGAGTCTAAGAAAGCAGAGCGTGTTTTTGTTTTGTTTTGCTTTGTTTTGTTTTTTTAATTACAGCCAGTTGTTGCAACAACTCAGACTTAAAAGGTGCAGTGTTGGATATTAAAAAAAATATGTATTTCTTGTTTCCTATGCCTTTTACTATATTTACTATATTGGGGGCGGGACAAAAAAAAAAAGCATATAACAAGATCCATGCCCCCAAAGCAGTTTAAACCTAACATCCTAACATTCATTCAGCCATTCTACCAAGAGTCGTTGACCACCTGCTATCTACTTTCAAACCCTACGCAAAGACTTGTGGGATTTGCAGCCATAATACAGAAATCTTCTAGGATCTAGTGTTGGTACAGAGATGGAAACACATCATGAAAGTCAGAATGCAACAAATGCCAATTAGCGTCACAAGCAATTTGGAGACTGTAAGTAAATGCAGTGACAAAAAGAACTGGTCTTTTGGAAAGACGAATCCACAGGACTAGGCAGTTGATTGCTTTTAGGAGAAAGGTGCCATCCTGGATGTCATTAACATGGGCTCCTAAGAGGAGGATGGTGTCATTAACAAATACAGAAAACTGGAAAGGTGGATCAGGTTGTGTAGGCAGGTGAGTTGATTTTGGACATAGTGAATTTGAGATACTCAGCAGCTAGTATTTGAAGTTATATAACAGGCAGGGGGACATTTGGGTCTAAAACTCAGGTTGAGGAGTGCCTTCGAGTCATAGGTAAAAGTCACAAGTGGATGTGATATTCAAAATCTTGGAAGCGACTGATACCTTCAAGTGAAAAGCTAAGAGTTGGAAAGGACTCTGGAGATCATCTTGTTCAATTCCCCTATAGATCCCTCATGCGTTAAACCCTTCTACCAAATTTATTCAATAAGCATTTATTGGATGTCTGTTGGACCCTAAGATGCTTTAGGACTAATGTAGACAGTGGACATAAAAAGTTCAGAGGAGCCTACATTCTGTGGGGGAAGTGAACAAATTCATTGCTGTCAGCACCATTTTGGAATTACAGACTAGTGCCACAATACCACAGTAGAAGGAGTTCAAAGACCCCTTTATGGTGAGTATGAAACTCCAGCTGCATCTTGAACAAAAAGACAAACTGGGGAAGGTGATCTGAAGACAAAGGCAAAGTAGGCTGACTCACAGACATCATGATGAATCATGTTAAGGGAGCTGAGTGGGGTTAACTATTGCTGATTTAATAGGAGGAACTGAAGACCAATCCGGAAAAGTTGACAGGGGCAAGATCTAAGACAGGCTAAGGAGTCAGGATTTTATTTTTATAACACTGATAAACAGCTAAAGGGTTCTAAGAAAGAGTTACATTATCCAATTTTTATTTTAGAAAGCTCCACCAGACAGGAAGGTGAGGAATAGATTGGAGTGAGAGCAAGACTAGAAGCCAGGAAGAGCCTATCTGGAGACTAGTCTGGTGATTTGTACAGTTACAGGGAGTGACAGTGAATTTGATCTGCAGTGTCAGTGGGCTTGGAGAGGGGAGACTGACATGACAGATATATATGAATGTAGGGACTGATTACATGTGGGGTTAAGGAAGAGTCAAGGAAGATGCTCAGGTTTCTAGGTAGAAAGCATTGCCTTTCACACAGCAAGGGAATATGATAAGGGGAAGTGTTTTGGTTGGATGTAAAGGTAGGAGACAAGATCATGAGTTCAGTATTGGACATACCAAACATGATGTGCTAATGTGGCAAGCAGTCAGTCACGTACTAAGACTTCTAGTAATCATTCTCTGAGAAAACTCTCGTTTGTTGGACAACTCCTTTCAGAGAGCACTGAATGGTGACTTTAAGGCCACAGAGATGGTGACAGAGCAAGGTATTGTGAGTCTCAGGCTGGCATTCTCCTGATGACATAGAACTGCCCGGAGGCAGAGGATTCACCTGTGAACTGTCAACATTATAGAAGCCTTGCCAGAACAGGCAAAACCTGGGCTATTTCCCTCTCTACTCCTTGTTGATACAGCATGAAAAGATGCCAACTATAAATGCCTAAAGTAAGAAGTAGGAGCACTTACATTTTTTCATCCCTGTTTTACTGACTGTCTGGTATTTTAAAGGGCTATTAATAGTGGAGAATAGGTGGCGAAGAGATTCTGAATAAGGTCAGTAGGAGGAAAGAGATGAAGGAGAAAGGGGCAAACTGGAGTCATATTTAAGGAGGTGAAGTCAAAAAGCTCTTGGTGACTGATACTGTAAGACAATTCCATATTTCTATGCTTCAGCTTCTTGGGTTTTGCTTTGGAACTATAGAGTATGGAACTCTGGCTAGAGAACATCTCTGGAGATCATACTGCTGTAGGGCAGGGGGATTACAGGTATAGCACGGATGTGGAAGATGGTTGATGCTATTTCTGTCCCTATTTCTCCCACTTCTGAGCATTGTCACTCTACTGAGTTGCAAAAACAATGAAAGAATATTGCTCTGTAATGACAAAAATCTCCTTGTGGGACCTCACGCCAATGTAACATAACAGGGATTCATTTCTAGAACGATGACTGGATATAGTGCAATTATAGTTTGTATTATCTTTCTCACTCCCTTCATGCTGCTTTAGCCAACTTTGTCATCTTCCTCACCTCTGGGACTTGGTGTGATTGAGGGTTAACATCTGCCGAGGCAGTAGGAGCAAAACTTGTCCAGGACTACTTTACCCACATGGCTCAGATAGCTGGGTCAGGTCAGAAATGGGGATTCTTTTTTTTTTTTTAATGTTTATTTTTTTTTTTTGAGAGAGAGAGACTGGGGGGGAGGGACAGAGAGAAAGGGAGACACAGAATCTGGAGCAGGCTCCAGGCTCTGAGCTGTCAGCACTGAGCCTGACGCGGGCTCCAACTCACAAACAGTGAGATCATAACCTGAGCCGAACGAAGTCCAATGCTTAACCGACTGAACCACCAGATGCCCCCAGAAAGGGCGATTCTAACCAGGACCCAAAGTGAACAGATCTAGAGGAGGCCGTCATCATAATATAACCTCTGTTATGGGGCCCCCTGAAGCTCAAAAGTGCTTCCACAAGGCAAGCCCAGGTCCCATTCCCTTCCTACAGTCTCAAACAGATATGGGTTTTAGAGCCTCCCTTGTGACAAGTCCAACAGAGAAAACACAAACTGAGTAGTGTCTTCATTGCACATTACACAGTCCTTCACTGACACGTGCTAGGACTTGTAGCAGCCATGGTCAACTCCGTGCATTGCCTAGTAAATGAATTAATGCTTTGGATGAAGGCTCTGGGTAAGACTAGGGCCACACAGAATAGTTACATATCAAATACCAGGAAATTAAAATGTGTATTGTTTGGATGTAGTTATGTTTGATTTCTGCATGTTAAGAAATTTAAAAATATGTAGAGATTCTTAACCTAAATTTTAATTCACCAGACCTTGTTCCCCCTTTTGTCTTCTCTCTTTTGCTCTTTTTTATCTTTCTTTCCTTCTTCTCTTAATCATTAATGAGTGGAAGAATAGAGAAAATTGAATTGATCTGCAGAGTAAATGAAAATATGGAAAGAATGGTTACAGTCTGCTATTTCTGCTTCCAAATGAATCCCAGCTCAGCCACTGCTAAGGAAATGAGAATAGAGGGCAAGAACCTGGAGGCTGGTGCCTTTTTGCTTCTGTTCATACAGAAACATCTGGGTTTTACTGGTATGACACAGTAAGAATCATTGGCACCATCATTGCTATTAAATGTCTGTTAAGCATTAATAAAACAGAAGAGACATTTAATATGGCATTTATACTGGAAAACTTGGGATGATGGTATGTAATGAATCACTGGTGGGCTTTATCAGTGAGTGTGTATTTTTGGCAGGATATCAGAAAGAGGGAACAAACAAGAATTTACTTTTGTGATCTTCCAGTGGGATAGTAGAGAAAGATGAATGTGGCAGTTCTGGGGAAATATTTTAAACTTCAAAGACCAGAGCCCTCAGATCTGGTTACTCTTCTCACAGGAGCATTTTCTTTGTCCTGTTGACTGTTTGGACAAATGTTTGCAACCAACATTGTTGCTAAACGTCTGAATTCTGCTGAGACTTTCTTCCTTTTTGTCAACAAAAGTGGTTTGGATACATTTTGTTTTCTTTATCTTGTAACTTCTTTCAGTTAGTAATTCCATCCAAATCTAGCTCTCAGGTTTG